GAAAAACCCTACTTCATATCCCTATGAGATAATGCCTTGTTTCTTCGATGATGATTAATTTGTGGATCATATCAAGAGATTTCACCTAACATCTATGCCATACATGACATTCTTAGGTTCTTATCTGCTGCTTACTTTGACTACTCTTTTTATGAATGCAGCTGCATCAGCCAGTGACAGCTGAAGATTTGGAATCCGCTTCTACTACACAAGAAAATTAATAGGCTGACTTGAAATTGAGGGGAGCTTCTTGTTGTCTGCCAGAATTGCAATTCATCTCTCTTGCTTTGGCACATAATAAATTGAAGTCCAGAAAATCCGTCTGTGCCCCTCTGCACGCGCCGACACAACCACATGCATTGAGAAGAAATTTGCTGATGTTTTCAAACTCCATGCACTGGCTGTGAGGTTAGATGGTCCAAACTCTGCATCATATTTTCCAGTGTCTTGATCTGTCAGGCGAGACCCATTCTTGCTGGTTTTTTTTTTTTTCCTCTTAAAACCCTGATTATGAACTCCTAACAAAGATTTTGTGGGTACCTTTGTTAAATGTAAGCTTGTATTAAGATTTTATTTGGAAATGTAACCATCCTTGCCTCATTTTTGTCATCCACTAAAAACCCATATTTTTCGTTGTGTTGATATGTGAGGCATGACCACTCTTGCTTTTATTTATTTATTTTTAATTGTTAACAAAGATTTATTACTGTAGTACCTTTGCTAAATGTAGGCCTGTGTTAAGATCTCATTTAGAAATGTAGCCAACCCTGCCTCATTTTTGTCAACCACCAGAAACCCACATTAATACACTTTTGTCAACCACTAGAAACCCACATTAATAATGGGAAGCAAGTAAATCATTCTTCTATTAATATCTGAAAGCACAACTTTGAGTGGGAGAAAGTTGTGGCTGAAATCACTCTAGATAAACAATTGAAAAGGGAAAGTCTATTCATACAACAAAATTATACCCAAAAATAAATAAATAAATAAATCACAAGAATGGTGTATTAATGCCAGCTTTATAAATAAAAAGTCTCTTAATGGATATATTTTGTTTTTGAGGAAAAAATGTACAATGAATCACATAATTATATAGAAAAATTTCTTATGAATTTTTGTTTGTATATTATTATTCAATTGAAAATCCTCAAATCATGGTATTGTATTTCATCCATAATGCAAGATAGAGAGTGAACAATTCGTTGTCCTTGTGTCCCTTTACCATTTACGAAACATGCCTTGCTTATTATCAGAGCAGCATATTTTGACAAAAAAATTAGCAAAAAGTTATATATTTTAAAAAAGAAAAACAATTTTTTTGCAAAATTTTTGCTAGTTTGATGGGGATCCTCTCATAAAATCAAAATCATCCAAATTTGTGTAGAAGATTTGTATCACAAATAGAGAGAAAACCAATATAAAGACAAATAAACATTTGCAACAGTAACCAACTACCATAATGTGGTCCTAAAGAAACCACATTGAGTCTTAACTCAAATTTTGACATGGAAAAACAACAGTCACATGTTTGGTTGCACATCATAGAATTTGTCCACAAAATAATATCTGGCTATATGTAATGGATAGCTTGACAAAATAATGATCGTTTATCAACACAAGAAATCAAAGAAGCCACATTTTCCTCAGTTTTTTCTTCTTTTGCTCAAAAAACAAGAAGAGTTGGGTACAACAAAATAAATGCAGAGATATAAAAAGAAGGCACTGTCAACAATCTGTGTGATAGTTTTCTGGCTTAAACCACAATGAAAAATCAATGCCTTTGTTCTTCAGTTTAGCTGTTGGAGGGCCAATTCTCTCCAGAAGCTGCAAAATACACAAACAATACAAAGTGGTTTGGAAAGAGGATGATAGGAAAGTAGTATATTCTCATACTCTATTTTCTTAGCATTTCTAACCGCATTCAGGTAACACATTCAATCCGATCAATTATGTTCAAATCCTCGCAGCGTAATATAAGCGTTTGACAATTTATAAGTAGTCAAGTGGTTAAGGAGTTACAATCATCCATTAGACATGGTTTACTGGACAGGATCGCTGGTCCTACGATATCTCAAATATAGATTTCAAGAGCAGTTATCATCAAATACACATAAGGCTCCAAAATAAGTGGATACTAGGATGTGTAATAATGTAAAGCTCCCAATATTACAAGCCTTGGACCTAACCTTGTCATGCAACATCAAGTTCTCTAAGAAAGAAAGGGAAAAGACTAACCTTGTCATGCAGCACACCATTGGATACCAAGACTGATCTATCAAATACACTATATTTTCCACCATCCATGCAAGAAACTACCCCACCAGCTTCTTCAACTATCTGCTTGAAATGTAAATAAAATAGATGCAATAAATGATTGGAAGTAAAAAACTTGAATTCTAATCATTTTCATGAGAGCCAAGTGCCAAAACACACACCAATTCTTTGAAATATAAGGTTTCTTAAGCACTTGCCTCATCCAGATACAGGTTTTAAGAAAATACAAATGGCAATTGGTCAGCCAACTTAGGTTAGTAGATTTTCAATCTATTCTTGAAAAACATTGTCATCTAAAACAGTTACCATAGTATTCCTAATTCAAGTGTAAAAATTGTAGCTCAGTGCACACGTGAGGAATCTGAAAAAAATTAGAAAGGTAGTAAAACATAGAAAATGAAAAATGGCACGGGCGGATTTGAAGTCTTGGGGTAATAACCTTAAGGTAAGGTTACGGATTCAAGTCTTGGGCCGCCACTTTGTGCATTATGCCAAAGGTTAGGTGTGTACTCACACTTTCTCCTCCCAAACACACGTGTATGGATGTAGTAAAAAGGAAGTCACACCCGGGCCCAGGTGTGAGTGGTGTGAGTACTTTTGATTCCTTTGCCAGATAGTGCTATACACGTGTCGCTCTTCTGGTGGTTTGCGTGGCTGTAAAGAAAATATTTTTGCAGAATGATAGACATAAAGCAAAGGCGGGAAAATAAATGTGTTTGAATTATTTTGAATGGGAAATCTTCGTCCTTACACGCAGGCCAGTTTTGCTATTTATTTGGTACCAGAAAATATTTTATGGCATAGAGGAATATGCTTTTGCAGTGGGATAGCTATTGTGGTGAAGTTGCTTTCTGGTACCTTATTTCGTCCCTCCTTTTCTTTTTGTCTTTTTTGTTGATTTATTTGGTATACAATGTTGTACTCCTTAGAAGAGTATCCCGAGAATTACGGGCAGTTCACTCAAATGTGTGTAGATCGCTTTTTGACGTGGCAAACAGGGCTGTGGGAAGAGAGTTGGCGGTTAGCTCTGGCGAAGTTTGTTCCGGTGTACGAGGAGCAGAGGGCAAATATATCAAAGCTAAGGTGTCTGAACAGAAGGGTTAGCAGAGGTAAGAGAATCAACAAAATTTGTAGGATAAAAGATTTGGAGTGTTTTATAAAAAATGGAAGGAATAGGAAGCAGCCAGTATCGGACCCCCTTTGCGTACCAGAGGTCAAGGACACCGGCGGTCAGTGGATATAAGCGGAGTTACCGTGGTCGTGCGCCTTTTAAGGCGGCATACATTCGCCGACGGTACGTTCAGAATATTCCGCGTTATATTAAGAAGACTAAGAGGGGAGTAAGGAAGTTGCAGTTGTACGATGAACAATTAAGGGACGTTAAATTTGATAATAAAGGTGTGGCCAGATTGCTTAATGGTATTGAGTTGGGTAATAAGAGATGTGACCGTCAATCAAACAAGATCGTGGTTAAGGGTATAAAATTAATTGGGAATATTCAATTGGGACAAGATGCTAAAGATGAAGCTGTGGTCCACCACGTATTGTTTTTCATCATAAGTGATAATAGTTCGTCAGATTCCGTTCCCACACCTGACAAGATATTTATTGGAGTTGGGGAGGGTAATCCTGAGACCTGGATTGTCGATCCTGACTAGTCCGACCGGTTTCGGATGCTAAAGAAAATGAGATTCAAGCTCGTTGGTGGCAAGGATAAAGAGTACGTTCGTCACGGGATAGAAGTTGTAGACCAGTTCTTCCCAGTTGATGTTTGGATGGACTACAAAGATACGCTGTTGGGAAATGTTGGAAGTATTCAAAAGGGTGCCATATATTTAGTGGCTGCTACTGTTAGTGGAAAGGAATGCAAAATTACTTTAAGGAGTCAAATGTACTTTAAAACTGTTTAGAATTGTAATTTGATGTATTTTGGGTGCCCCAAAAACAGGCTGCTAAGCACCAAAAGTGGCATGCGACCACAAAGGTGATTGCAGGATGCAAGGGCCCAAAGCCTAGGGCACAAGATACAACTGTATGAAAGCATGGAAAGGATGAAATATGGCATACAACAACACATGTTCCAGCTCTGAAATGACATACAAAATGGTCCCGAATCATGCAAACAACTCACACAATGCATG